CAACTGGATGCATGAACTGCATTGAATGCAGTGGGAAATGTTCAGTGCAAACAACTGCCAGATATCACATGCATTGTATTTCTGGTAGGTGAACAGAATTTTGATCATTAAAGACTGGCTGGCTATAGGGAAATCATGGCTTGTTTGTTTTATTTTTAGTTTGACTCAAAAAGTGTGCACTACTACAATTGATTTTACAGTACTGGATTGTACACTACCAGAAATGCTTAAAGGAAAGACATGCAGTGATGTTGTACTTCCTTTGTTGTTCTTAAACAGGACTGAATGCTGTCACAGGACTAAATGCAGGACCATTAAGATCATAAGAAACACAAATTCAGTCAAATGTTTTCAGTTTACTTTTATTATTACCCTATTTTAAGTCAGTATAGCATCAGAAACTGATGCTTTCACACAGTTGCTTTCACTGAAACTTGATTCCTTTCTCCTTCTTCCTATTAACATCACCAGAAGCAGAGTTCAGTGCTGCATTTCCAGCAGCTACTACTCCTGCTATTACAGCTTCAGATAGCGCCGCTCCTGGCAAAGCAGAGGCCAGAGCCGCAGATCCTGCAACTGCTGCTCCTGAGATAAAAGCTGAAGTAAGTGCCCCTCCACTAACTACAACTGCGCCTGCACCCACTACCACACCTGTTCCCATTAAGACTGCATCTTTAGCTTTATTCAGCAGCCTACTTCTTTCCTCTTCTTCTCTCCTCCTCTTCTCTTCTTCCTCTATTTTCCTCTGAGCTTCCTTGTACATTTCATTTGTTGTCTCCTCCGTTCTCCATCACCATTCTGTCTATCTTATCCAGCAGTTCAGTGACCTGTGATTGATTTTCTTCAGCTGTGTTAATAAAAACATGATAACCTCCTTTACAGTGTTCAACTAGATTTCTAATCTGCTTGTTTTTGCTCAGAAACTCCTCTATGGATGTTTTTAACTGATCTCCTCTAGTGAACAGGATGATGGTGTAACGTGCAGCATCTTCTCCAAAGTTCTCCTGAATCCATCTCACTGTGTTTTTCTCCTCATCTGTGAATCTCACGTCCAGTCTGGTGACCAGCAGAAACACATGAGGACCAGGAATAGACATTTCTACACATCTCACTAGTTCATGCTTCAGTTGCTCTTCGCTGATTGACGTATCAAACAGTCCTGGAGTGTCGAACACTGAGATGATTCGACCTTCTACTGTCTGCTGATGTTGTTGGCATTTCTCAGTCACAGATTCAGAACACAATTCTTCTTTAACCGCTTTTCGTCCCAGGATGGTGTTTCCTGTTGCGCTCTTTCCAGCTCCAGTTTTCCCCACCATCACGATCCTGAGATCTGTGCACTCGCCAGGTTTTATGTGGCTGCTCTGTATGGACTCTGTATGAGACAAGTAACAATACAATTTCATTTAATTTTCAAGAAATATGTCATGATGTTTTGAAAAAGCAATAAATTGCAGGTTCTCACCTGCTTGGGTTAGATGTTTTTCTGTCTCTGTCTGTTGCTCCTTCTGATCCCATTTTCTTTTTCTGCTCATTTTCCAGCTTTCTGATTGTGTTGCCTCTTCTTCTTCTTCTTCATTCTTGTGAAACTCTAGAGTATCTGTCATCATATAATTGAGTTCTCACATGCGAAATAAAATCTTTATTTTCAGTAACAACATTTCTTGTGCTCTTTTCCTTTACACTCTGCGTGTGAATCGGCTCCTTGTTTTCTTTTCTGCGTCTTATTGGATATCTTAAGAAATTGTGAATGTCATAATGCTGGCCATCATTGCATTTGATGATTTCGTCGATCTTCTCTAGAAGTTTTGTGATGTGAGTTGGAATAATGTCGTTTTTACTGTCGAGTGCATGATATTGTCCTCTGCAGTGACTGACAAGGTTCTGAAACTTTCTGCTTTTCATTAAGAGATTCCATTGTCTAGTCGCCATTTTTTCTCTTCCAATAAACAGCACCACGGTGAACTTTAAAGCTTGAGCTCTAAAGTTCTCTTGAATTTGCTGGACAATGTTCCTCTGCTCCTCTCTGAAGGTGTCCAGGTTGATGACGAGCAGGAACGCGTGAGGACCAGGATAACCGAGGAACATACTCCTCATCATTTCACTCTGCAGCTCTTCATCAGTCAGATGAGTGTTGAAGAATCCTGGAGTGTCGACGATGGAGATGTTTCTGTCTTCTACTCTTCCTCTCTGTTTCTCACTCTCTCTGGTTCTGCTTTAAACGCCTCTCGACCCAGTATTGCGTTTGCTGTTGAACTCCTTCCAGCTCCGGAGACTCCCAGCAGCACGATCCTCAGATCCTTTGAATCACCTGTGAAACAGTTCATGTCATTAGCTGGAGCTCTGGATGATTTACAAATGCTTCTGTGATTCTAAACACGCCTTCTTTTCATCCCCAGGTATTTTTGCTATCTCATTTTAAATGTCTCAGTACGATTGGTAAAAATAATTTAGTTCAGTTGGAAAATGCATGTTACAATTCTAAACGTATAGAGTCTGCTCTGCTCCATACAGCCAGGGTTCCCAGGTCTGCGTGACAAAGCTAGCCCAATGGCCAGTCAAAAACAGCCCAAAGTAGTGCAATGACCATATCCTAAATGTCAAAACTCAAAATATGCCAGTTCCATAACTATAATACACATCCTTATGAAAAGTGCCATGGTTTTACTAAAACGTGATTGCCATGGTTTAACCATCACTCTAAAAATGCTGAGTTAAAAACAACCCAGCGCTGGGTGAAATATGGACTTACCCACGTCTTGGGTTAAATGTTTAAACCCAGCCCTCTGGGTAGTTTTATTCAACTCAACTATTGCTTAAAAATTACTACATTTCTTACTTTAAATAAACCCAAAATAGGTTGGAAATTAACATTTATTAATATGTTCAATAAATGAACATATATTAATAAGTTGGATAAATAATAATTAAGTAATAAACGTTTTTAATTGCTTATTAACACATTTTAAACGTTGCTGATGGCTGTAGTAATTATGTGTCTGATTTTTTATTTAAAACCTATTTTGGGTTCATTTTAAGCCAGCCATATGGTAATTTTTAAACAATACTTGAGCTGAATAAAACTACCCAGAAAGTTGGATTAAACAATTAACCCAACCGCTGGGTTTGTCCATATTTTACCGAGCGCTGGGTTGTTTTTAACCCAGAATTTTTTAGAGTGTGGTAACCACAAATTAACCATATGGTTTGGCTACACTAACCATAGTTTAACAATGGTATTTGCAGTAAAGCGGTGGTTATAAAAATGGTGTGCAAAAAAACAAACACTTTTACTACAATAGAACCATAGCTAATTTCCATAAGGGATTTAACAGTCACTATTATGTTTAATATTAGCCCAATTCCATGAAAGAAAAAAATAAACAAATAAATGCAGACTTGGCAACCCTGCATCCAACACCAGCTGGCTTCTGCAGGAGTCAGATTTCACTGACACAGGTGGAGTGTAGGAGAGATGACTGACAAGACCATGGTGGAGGATTTGCTGCTCAACAGATCCTGAACTTATTGACAAATATCTTGTAAAAATGTGCTCCCTTGCACAGCATGTGCGATCGCAAAATTGAAAGTGAAAGTGAACAGCAAGCGCTCATTCAAAAGTGATTTCAATACCCAGCATACTGATAGCGGCACCCAGATGCACGAAAATCATATATAATATATAGAATATTTGCAGTGCGGGCGGGAGTGGAACACGCAAGTTGCATGGTCAAAAATGTATTTAGAAAACAGTCCCGTGCAGGACTGTCAACCACCAGAAACAAAAAGCACAGTATTAATTTCTCGGTATGGTATTAAACTAGCTGTATTCTGTGAGGATCACATTAGGCTATTTCATTTAGACTTACCTTCTGGCCTATGTGTTGCTGACATTGTGTCCATGCAGTTTGTTTTAGTCGTTTAAACTCTCTCTCTCTGTCTTTGTCTGTGTGAACCTGACACAGGAAGTGTGTGTGACCACTTCCTCACGGTTTAAAAAATGCATCACACACACCCTGTTATTTCAGTTTCATAGTGAATTGAGCGGTAAATGTTTTTCTTACAGTTCAACAGACTGTGTGTGTGTGTGTGTGTGTGTGTGTGTGTGTGTGTGCGCGTATATCTGTTATCATATAGAACTTGGACAGATAGTGGGACTAGGGATTAGGGCTGCACGATTAATCAAAATTAAATCGAAATCGCGATTAGGCAAAAGCTGCGATTGTCATGCGCATCTAGTCAGTAAAGCCGGTTCTGTGATCAGTAGTAAATCTCCATCATGTGCTTTCAGATGGA